TTCTGGATTCTGTAAGTCCATAGTGGCTCCTAGGTGCCCTACTTCCTGCACCCTTCCAGGTGATGCTGACACTTGCCTCCATGGTCCTTACCTCTGATACCACTCACAGTCATTCTGCACCCTACTCTCAGAACTGTTTTTCTGAGATACAGATCTGATGATTTCACTCTCCTTCAGACTTGATTGCATATAGAAGTAAAATCTACATTCTTTAGTGTGGTTTTCATGGTTTTCAGAGAAGGTCCTCAAAGAATAGGCCTATCCTATCTATGGTTCTCTAATTACCCTCTCCACTTTGAGGAGTGTCCTTGGTACTTTCTACACATGACATCAACTTTCGCATGCTCTTCCTTACTGTGCATTTGCCAGGTAAGAGTCTTCCCTTCAGGGCTCTGTGCGAATTTTACCTCTTTGGCAAAGTCTTACTCTACACTCCTCAGTTTCTCTAGTTTTCTCCATTTTCCCCTATCACTTTGTATATTTAATGTAGCATTTGTTACATTGTCCCCATAATTCTGTGCTATCATTCAGTCAAGAAAACATTTGAATTTCTACTGTTTCTGGTTGCTGGGGGAGACAGTACTGAACACAATGATAGATAGATAGATAGATAGATAGATAGATAGATAGATAGATAAAATTTTCCATTCTGGCTTACATTTTAGCCTTCCCTCATTCCCTCCCGTCCATCCATCCATCCCTCCATCCATTCATCCATTCATCCATAAACATATTAGGACTTCATTCACTCTTGTATCTATTACCTGGCATATAGTAGGTAAATGAAATTCAGTCAAGAAAATATTTGAATTTCTACTGTTTCTGGTTGCTGGGGGAGACAGCACTGAACACAACGATAGATAGATAGATAGATAGATAGATAGATAGATAGATAGATAGGGGCGCCTGGGTGGCGCAGTCGGTTAAGCGTCCGACTTCAGCCAGGTCACGATCTCGCGGTCTGTGAGTTCGAGCCCAGCGTCGGGCTCTGGGCTGACGGCTCGGAGCCTGGAGCCTGTTTCCGATTCTGTGTCTCCCTCTCTCTCTGCCCCTCCCCCGTTCATGCTCTGTCTCTCTCTGTCCCAAAAATAAATAAACGTTGAAAAAAAAAAAAGATAGATAGATAGATAAGATTTTCCATTCTGGCTTACATTTTAGCCTTCCCTCCCATCCATCCATCCATCCATCCATCCATCCATCCATCTATAAATATATCAGGACTTCATTCATTTTTGTGTCTCTATTACCTGGCATATAGTAGGTGAATGAAAAAAATTATAACTTAAAAAAAATTTATTTGAAAAATTTTTTGATGTTTATTTATTTTTGAGGTAGAGTATGAGCCAGAAAGGGGCAGAGAGAGAGGGAAACACAGTCTGAAGCAGGCTCCAGGCTCTGAGCTGTCAGCACAGGGCCCAACTCAGGGCTCAAACCCATGACCTGAGCCAAAGTTGGATGTTTAACTGACTGAGCCACCCAGGAGCCCCTATGTATATAAACTTTTTAAAGTTAATTTGATGACCACCTACTATTTGCTAATTTCTGTGCTAATGTTATAGGTAGGGCCACAGAAGAAAACAAGAATGTTCCTTTTCCATAAGCACCTTATGTAGATGAGTAAAACTAACACTGTTATGTTAATATTAAGGAACAGAAAGGTCATTCAGTGACTCTATTGCTATATTTTATTGTTTCCTCTTCAGAGGACAATATCATTAGGTATAAACTGGACAACTAGAACTTGGGTCTAATGAAAGTTACCCTGAAAGAAAGGGAAACATTCTTGTCCAGCGTTTCCACCTAAGCCAGCGGGGAATGTCTGTTGGTGGGAAGCAGGAAATGAAAAAGAAAGGGAATTCATAGCTTTAACTGTTCCTGTGTGAATGATTTTTTTTTTTTGTAGTCTCAGCTTAAAAATTAATGGAGATTTTACATTTTTCTCTGTAGTAGGACTCCTATAATAAAATTAATGTTTTGAATTATTTACTACTGAATAAAATTCATCCACATGTATCCTGTGGCTTCTAGGAATCCTGCCAGACCTCCATTTAATTTGGTACTTCTGTTCTTTAAAAACACTAAGAAGCATCAGTTAGTACTGACTATAGCACCTTTAGTCAAGAATCATATTGTGCTATTTAATTTAATTTAATTTAATTTAATTTAATTTAATTTAATTTAGTACACTGATGAGGAGGACAGCACCTCAACAGGAGCGTATAACAATATGTGAACACACATGGTGTTGAAGGAGTTCCTGGAGGAACCAGCAAAGTGAAACTTGACTAGGAAGATTTTATAGATAAAAGTTTTTCACGTAAAGGACATACAGTCCTTGGCAGAAGGGGGAGCAGATAGGGATTTCTTTCTCCTTAGGGGAATGCTATATGTGAGGGCTTGGTTGGGAGTGATGGAAGTGGGTTATTGTCACTATTATAGCCATCAGCCTTTCTAGGATAGAGAGCATGGGCCAGTAGGAAGCAGTTTTACTCTGTGGGAAGAGCCTGGGTGGGGTGGTCTGGGTTTCACTGAGTTCTGGCACTTTTTGCTGAGTACAGCAAGAGGAGTCAGTTAACCTTCCTGGGCCTACCTAGTTTATTTATCCTGACATTGGGGGAGTTGAAATAATACAATCTATAATTGACCCTCCAGCTCTACCATTCAGTAATTCTGACTTCTCTATCAAACGAGATGGCCTGGGATTTTTTGCTTCAAGGGTTCAGCTTCTGTTATAATTGCAGTTTGCTTCGGAGTGTTGTCCAGTGACCAAGCCTAAAATATGAACCATTCAAATCTTCCCTTGTTTTGCATCACATTTACTTCTGTCAGATCTTGAGTTCGTGTTTCCTCATTGCTGCTATTTCTCTTGTTTGGGAAGTCCTTCAGAATCTTTCTCCCCAGGCTGTTGTTTGTGTTTAACCTCACCTCCCACCCTCCACCGCTAGAATTCATCTTAAATACACAGCAGCTGTGCCCTCTCAATAAAAATAACTGTAGTGAGTCTTCTTTGTCTTCCAAAGAAAAGCCAAACTCATTAGCTCAGTCAGTATTCAGTATCAGCTATCAATCTTAGCTCACATTACTCCCCTCATATGATCTAGAGAACAGTTAAACTGAAGCCAATATCCTCTTGGTGTCCTTGCTCCCGTTGTTCCCTACACCTGGTTATGCCCTGCACTCCCCCCACATTGTCACATAGCCACAGTTTTCCCATCTCAGGTGCCACCGTCTTGATGCAATCTCTTGGGCTTCCTGCAGCCAGAAGTAATCCTTTTCTTCTCAATTCCCATAGCACCTATAGCACCTTTCCTGTACCTAATAGTGCTAATTAGTTGGTATGTCTACCTTTTTTGTATTCTTATCTCTCTAAACTAAACTCCCCAGTGCTTAGGAAGTACTATATTATCTTACACAGGGTGGGTGCCCAGTAAATAGTTGAGTGAATGAATTCTGGCTAATTATATTTCAGATCTTTGTTATCTCTGATTGGTAAAGTTTCATGTTTTTCTGGATAATCTCTAACTAGAATGTAGAAAAGAACTCTGCAAACAGGAATTAATAAACTAATATAAGAATAAGAACCATTACTATAGATGTGTTATAATTCCCAAGTTTGTAATTAAAGCAAGCAAAATGTTTGCAAGCCTCAGCCTTGTCTTTGAATTTTGAGTCTCATTCACCAAGGCTTTCAACGCAGTATAGGGCAGATGAACCTTTTCAAGTGAACCACCTCAGGGTAGTTTCTGTTTTGCTTATTTGTGTCGGTTAATATGCTTAGCAGTTTTTTGTTTTATGAAAGTTTTACAAGTGATTCCCAACTTGAGAATTTTAAAAAATAATAAATGGAACAGTTAACTTACAAAATTATTTTTTTTAATTATTTTATTACAATTATAATTGTCACAAAAACTTTACTGTTTTTACAGTAGAAGCAGACTACCCTAAGTATGCACTGCCCTATAATTGGTGTTAAGGCCAGAAATTGCTTCTTATGCACACCTCAGGCTTTCAGAGCCATTAATATGAGCCTTCAAAGTTTGGTTTTTCTGTGGTTATAGATCTGGTCAATACAATAAGCAGTCAAACCATAAGCTTGGCAGACCCTTGGGAGATGGCCTACATGCAGAAGACATCATCCTGGTTGAAACAGTGCTAGCAAACTTTGTGTCCCAGGAGTTGATGACTTAGAGCAAATTCCACCATCTTAGAAAATACTGGTTTATTATGGGAGATTGAAAAGAGAAATAGGATCTCCTAAAATTTCCCACTGTCACTTTTTGTCCAAATAGCTCCTCTCAACCAATCTTTGGTCAGAATAGTGTACTAAGACCAGCTAACTATTTGGCATTATCTGCTTGAATCCCAAGGAAGGAAAATATATCTCACCTAGGATTAGACCATTAACATAGACATTACCTCACTTCTGTCCAGATGATGTAAGATTAATCTCAGTTCTAGCAATCTCCTGTCATCAGTCCTCAAAATAAGAATCGCTACATTGCTCATTACCAGTGCTTTTTCTTTTCAATAAATTAGTGGTTCTTTAAAGCAGTTGCAGATGGTGTACCTGTTAAAACTGTTAAGTGAATGACTAATACTTTTTAATTATGTATTTGCCCCTTTATTCTCCTCTTATTAAAGTAGAAGGCATTGCAGCATATTTGTAGAAGTTAAGGTCTTTGAAATTATGTTAGCTAGCACGGACTTCTAAAAAGAGATATATGTGTGTTCTCACATGCAGAAAAAAAGGAGTGGAGCTTGGTAGTGGAGCAATGGGAGAAATAAATTCCATGGAAAAACAAAAAGTTGAACTCATTGCGCTTCTAGCATTAACTATGGGAAGAAAGGCAGAGTTCATCCACGGCAAGCAGTTTGGCTGCTCTGACCATATAGTGGCTTAGAGGGTGATGTCAATAGTGTGGGTAGTAGGAGGGGAGGGACAGGTAGATTTTAAGGAATCTCTATGTTTGATCTCTCAATTTCTCTCTCTTACCTCTTAGGAGTTAGAAGCAGCTCTTCACAGAGATGATGTAGAGTTTATCAGTGACCTGATCGCCTGCCTGCTTCAGGGCTGCTATCAACGAAGGGATATCACGTGAGTAATCCTGATTTTACTATGTATTTTGTGCATAAAGAACTAATTAACCAGGTGCCATGATGTTTCAGGTCTCCTGTAACAAACCAGAACTGATCCTTAGTTGGTGGCATTTACAGATGGATTCCACAGACTTGTGTTTGGCTCCTTTTGCAGTTCAGTTTTAATTTTATTATAATCCTTGAGTTTATTTCACTCTCACAAATCTATATCCTTTACTTTTGGATCCACCAGTTAACATAATCAAGTGTAGAATTTCTTCCTGTCAGTATATGCCTTTCTTCCTGAGTTTTATAGAAATTATAGTCTCTTGCATTACTGGTAAAAGGTAGCCTAACAAATTAAAACTAGATTTTACATTTCTGCCACTTGAGTATCTTCTATTCATATAACCAGTAGTTATAACCATAACTACATAACATACATAATGTTTAATATGGAGCTTCTAGTCTCCCTCACACCATAACTGCTAAGTAAACCTCTTTCCAATACATTTGAGATTTGTAGAAATTTGGAGCAACATTTTATTTGTGTAGATAAATAAAGGATCTTCTTGATAAGCCTCATTTCTTCTTTTGACCCTAACTTGATAACACGTTTTCTTCACTACTACATTTCTATATGGAACAGAAGCGTATAGAGCCAACTCTCAAAAAGCTGAGACAAAATGGTTTTCCGGTTTTTACCCTCTGGTGCCTTGCAGGGCAGGGGTTTGGAGTGTTATGGTTTGTATTTTTCATACAGTTAAAGATGGTATCTCAAATACTTCTGTTCAATTAAATCTACTCTTAGGTGTCTGCTTGGGCTGGGAAACTAGGCCCAGTATTAATGTGCAATAAACTTGTCATTACAAGATGAGTGAGAGATTGATGAAATGCCATTTTGTTCAGGGTAGAAGTTTGTATCCCTTAAGGGAGAGTTATTGCTCCTGGACTCACTGTGTTAATATAATGACTTTTTTCCCCGAGAATACCCAGATGGTTGTGCTAGACAAAGAATAGATGAAAGGGGGAAATCATCTATTGTTTTACTACTTGAACATGATAATTAAGTTCTTCCATTCTTTTATTGGGATGTAGATTTGGGAGTTTATGTGGTTTTTAAGCACAGTTGTGGTCATAGCGTGATAGAATTTTACATTTTCATGTCTTGAATTTTTTCATTGTAACAGTTTATTTTCTTAAACCACCTTTCCTTTAAACATGATTGTCAAATGATTCAATTTGATAGCTGGACATTTGCGTCTAGCTTTTAACTGTTGTAAACAGGCTATAATGCATAGCCTTGGACATAAAAGTTTGCTCATCTAGTGAATTGTCTTCTTAGTTTAAATTTCTGGAATTGTGGTCATTCAGAGGAAATGTCCCTTTAAGATTTTTTTTTTTAATTTTTTTTTCAATGTTTTTATTTATTTTTGGGACAGAGAGAGACAGAGCATGAACGGGGGAGGGGCAGAGAGAGAGGGAGACACAGAATCGGAAACAGGCTCCAGGCTCCGAGCCATCAGCCCAGAGCCTGACGCGGGGCTCGAACTCACGGAGCGCGAGATCGTGACCTGGCTGAAGTCGGACGCTTAACCTACTGCGCCACCCAGGCGCCCCTGTCCCTTTAAGATTTTTAAAATGAATTGCCAGGCTGCCCACCACAGGGATTGCTCCATTTTATCCTTGAACCCTCAGTGAATGAAGGCATCGGATCGCTTAAAACCTCCATCTGGATATTGCCCACTATTTGCTGGCCAGCACGTACTGGTATAACAAACAGACACTCTCAGGGCCTTCATGGAATTTACAGTATTATGCAGGGGTGGTAGGGGTTCACTAATAATTACAGTAATGGTTATATAATTACTGTGATAAGTGTTCTAAAGTATAAAAATACAGAGTGTTAACAGAGCATATAACCTCATATGAGAAAATGATATGTGAACTGAGCCTTTATATTTGGACTTCCTTAGGCCAGTGCCCATGTCTTTTTTCTTTTTTTTTTTTTTTTTTTTTTTTTTTTTTCAACGTTTTTATTTATTTTTGGGACAGAGAGAGACAGAGCATGAACGGGGGAGGGGCAGAGAGAGAGGGAGACACAGAATCGGAAACAGGCTCCAGGCTCTGAGCCATCAGCCCAGAGCCTGACGCGGGGCTCGAACTCACGGACCGCGAGATCGTGACCTGGCTGAAGCCGGACGCTTAACCGACTGCGCCACCCAGGCGCCCCATGTCTTATAAAGCATAAGAAATAAGTAAATGAATAAATGAATGAATGAACAAATGAAATGACCAAAGATTTACAAGTAGAAGGAGTGGTAACCTTAGAGCAGAGCCTAGAGATTATAGACTTAGAAGGTCTCATGTGGTTCAGAGGCGTGATTTGTTTACAGTCTTGGCCCCCCAGTGTTAAATTGTAATTTGTTGCCAACATCTAAAATGAGATGTCACATTTCAAATTCCAGCTTATAGCTTTTAGAAAACATCTAATGGTCTGCTAACCATGAAGACAGCCATCAACTAGAGGGCAAACAGGGTCTGGTCTGCCTTAGTCCTCAGCATTCCTGATTACTCTCCCTTGAGGAGGCTGATTGTCACTCATCATCTGTCATGTTCACTTGGCCCACCATATTTATTTACTTTTATTTATTTATTTTTTTTAACACTTATTCATTTTTGAGAGAGACAAGAGTGTGAGTGGGGGAGGGACAGAGAGAGGGAGACATAGAATCTGAAGCAGGCTCCAGGCTCTGAGCTGCCAGCACAGAGCCCTACATGGGGCTCGAACTCATGAACTGTGAGATGACCTGAGCCAAAGTCAGACATTTAACTGACTGAGCCACCCAGGTGCCCCTCATCTTCTTGATTAATTGATTGATTTTTAAACCTCCCGGTCCCCTGCACACATTTTGGTTTAAGGAATCCAATATGGCACAATAGGAATTGGAGCCTACTAGGCTTTGTAGGCTGGGTTAAGAATTTGGGGGTGTAATCCTAAAAGCAGTCTCCAGCAGGGGACTGGTCAGGTAAGCATCCTGGGCAAGCAGGGGGGTAAGCAGGAAGACCATTTAGGGGCTAATCATTTAATCGGGGGAGAAAGGAGAGATGTACACAGAAAGAGGGACTGTTATGAAGGTAAAATTAACTGGACTTGATGTCTCTAATCTTGACCAGTCCAATAGGTATAAAGTTGTTTTAATTTGCATTTCATTGATCAGTCTTCACATGCTCAATATCTTTTCTTAAGGTTTATTGGGCACATTTGAAATCCTTGTATACTTGAACTTCTTGTTGTATGCTTGGGTCATTTTACTGGTGTGTTGATTGAAGATCAGGGAAAAGAAATGCTCACTTAAAATTTGTGAGGCTTGGGGGGGCCTGGGTGGCTCAGTCGGTTGGACGGTCAATGATAGCTCAGATTATGATCTCGCAGTATGTGAGCTCAAGCCCTGCGTCAGGCTCTGTCCTGAGCGCTCAGAGCCTGGAGCCTGCTTCCGATTCTGCGTCTCACTCTCTCTCTTCCCGTTCCCTGCTTGCTGTCTCTCTCTCTCTCTCTCTCTCTCTCTCTCTCTCTCTCTCTCAAAAATTATAAACAGTAAATTAAAAAAAAATTTTTGTGAGGCTTTCCTCCTCTTGGCTCTTCTGTTTCACTCTTGCACGAGAGTCTTCCTTTACCCTTGCTAGTGCTGGACATTGCCCATAACATGCCAGCCCCTAGGTGCTAGTAGGATAAAACAGTGTCCTATCTCTTGTGGAGACTATGGTCTTCAATGTGTGACAGTGGAGGCAGAGGGGACAGTCTGTGGTTAAACATTTAAATAGCTAAAGTCATCTCAACATTTATGGAATAAATCTCCTCATCCCTGTTGGTGTGATATCTCTTTGATCTTTTACTAAGTTTTTGCTCATGTTAGAATCTTCTTGGTTCTTTGTAATTGTACCTGTCAGTCTCTTTTGGCTCTGATACCACACTGTGTGTCCCTAATATTTTCACTAGTTTTGTGAGCTTTGCCTCAGTTTTTTCTTGTATAAAATGTGTTTAATGATAGTATCTACTTGTTGGATTATTGTTAAGGATGAAGTAACATTATGTGTATGAAACAGGGATATCGTCTGGACACAACAACTAATAACATGAGTGATTATTCCTTTATATTATATTTTAATGTTCAAAGAGGATAGTCCCTCTAATTCCTCTATTTAAAAATTGTCTTGAGGCGTGTGGGTGGCTTGGTTAAGCGTCCAGCTCTTGGTTTTGACTCAGGTCATGATGTCACAGTTTGTGTGTTCAGGCCTCACATCGGGCTCTGTGCTGACAGCATGGAGCCTGCTTGGGATTCTCTCTCCCTCTCTTTCTCCTTCTCTCTCTGCTCCTCCCCCACTCATTTTCTCTCTCTCTGTCTCTCTCTCTCTCTCTCTCTCTCTCTCTCTCTCTCTCTCTCCTCTTTTTCTCAAAATAAGTAAACTTTAAAAAATCTATTTACAAAAAATAGAATAAATTTTGTCTTTACTAATCTTGCTTCTTCATTCTTCTGGAAAATGATTACTTTATCTCATCATGTTCTGTAAGAAATCCCCTTATATTGATTAGAGTCAAATAAACCTATGAGTAAATTCAAGCAGAACTGACCTCTTCACAATATTGAGATTGCTTTTTTATTCAGACTCTATTACCCAGTAAAATTGTATAGCCTGATTCATCTATGTCAGGTAACATACCTGGCTATCTTAATTTTTGTTGCCATTAAGAGTAGAATCCCATTCACACTATAAGTACTTTAGAAATATATTCTTCTGAATAGATCTTGAATCTGCCCAGTTTAGTGATCCTGATTATTTTTTAAGTTGCTTCTCTTCTGATTTTCTAGGATTATCATCCCTCTTTCCTTTTGGTGTTTTTATTTCTTGTCTCTTTTATGCTGTACTAGTTATCCACTATGATGTAACAAATTACCCTAAAATTTACCAACTTAAAAACCACAAAATATTATTATATCACAGTTTCTGTGGGTTAAG